AAAATTGTATTGGAAATCACTTTTTTATTCAAATTACAACATTTTAAAAGTATTGTGTTATCAAAATTTTATGATGTGCTATTTTATGATAAGAGAAATATGTATATTATTATTAGAGAAAATAAATACAGAGAAGAAAGCTATAATTAGCATTTAATATAGATTATTGGGGTGAAGGCAAATTATACTGGAAAGAGTTTTATCTTCAAGTTAGACTATTTAGATGGTTTTGTGCTGGCAAAAATCTTGCTAAGATGTGCTGTTTTTGCTAACAAATCCAGGAACATAAATTAGGTCATTATACTTACTTGATTTTCATTATTTTGACTGATATGATATAACTTGTATGTGTTGCTTATTGTGTCATTCTTGTCTCAATAAACTTATTTCTTGTATATAGATTTCACAATGTAATCCTAGAATTGAAATTATGACCACTCTATGACAGCAACATTTGATTAACCAATGCCAAAATCCATTATGTCACTCTTTTGAATTCTTTTTTTGTGGAAAAGGGTCTTTTGTTTTAAAGTTCAATATCAGATGGTTTTAGAATATACTTCAATATAATAATGTTTCTATAAAAACATATCTATAACCATCAAAGATGAAAGCAATTGTTTTAATAAATTGAATAAATAAAAATATATTGACAATTGCTCATTTCAAAACTCAAAACAAATCAGATCATTATTATATAGATTTTCACATATTTCTTTTGTGTTTTGTGGACTAAAAGAAAGAAATTGAAAACCCGTTTTCTGAAGATAGTATTTATTAAAGTGATACCTCAGCATATAATAATTGACTTTATCTTGGGTTTCCATTTTCTTAAAAGGTACTTTTCACTTTTTAGAAAAGTTGAATATTGTATCTCTTTTTGTTAGTGCTTTTTCTCTTTTGTTAACAAAGTTTTCCTTGACACACAACTGATGACCACCAGTAAAATTTAATCAATAAAAATGTTTAAACTTTAGTTTTGTCATTTTCTCCCCAAGTTGTTTTTCATGGGGAAATTAATTCATAGAAAAAGGTGTTCCTCAGGGCAAAAGTCTGGATATATGATTGAGGTCAGCAAAGCACAGATTTAATTAGAATGATGTTAAGTGTATTTCTTTTTTTAGAGACCAATAAAAATTTATTTTGTAAATAAAATGTAAATTACTTCAATTCTGACATTCTTTCTTGTTAACCTTTTAAAAATATATTGGTTGTAAATTTCTTCATTTGAAAATTGTTGATTTTTTTTTCCTTAGAATAATAAAAAGGTGATAGTTGGACAAGACGGTTCTTGTAGTAGTTTAGTTTATTCATAGAAAACTTTTGTTACATTGATTAATTAAGAAGTAGAATAAGAAAAGTTAACATTTTGTTGAGACCAGAAAGAATCTTTGGAAAAAGAAAACATGAAATAAAAGAAAATTATTTAAAAGGTACAAAAGTGTGCATTTAAATAGAAACTAAAAGTTTGATCAAAAGATGAGGGAATTTATTTAAGGTTGAGCAAGAATTTTAGAAACAAGAAAACCAAATGTAATGAAGAATTATAGAGAATGAATGCATTTATAAAGAAGAGGAGGAAGGGAACTGGTTGAATGAAGGAAAGGAAACAATAAAGAAGGAATAAAAAAAAAATAAAAAGGAAAAGAAAAGGATGTGAGAAGAATTAAGAAAAATGATGAAATTGTAGAAGCAAAACAAAAAATTAAAAAAAATTCTACTGAAAAAGGAAATGGGGTGGGGAGATAATGAAAAATAAAGGCAAAATTTATAAAATTGGAAAGAAGTTAATATTGATGAATGAAAGAAACAAATAGTAAATGGCAGATGGAGCAGATATAAAAAAGGTCCTTTTTATAAGTCATGACTTAGGAAGAGTATGTTATAACAGAGGAAGAAGGTAAAAAAAGGAAGACTGGCACAGGACAAGAAAGGAGGAATAAGATTATATACATACACACATACACAAGTTTCATTAAAAATGACTGACAACATACTGTGGTTAAGTTTTTTTATTTAATTTCTCTTGTGTTCTTATAATTTTCTTTTTTGTCTGTCATTTTTAATGAAACATGCATAAAAGAGGGATTGCTGCCCAAATACACTATATATGTGTGTGAAAGTTCTCAGAATATATCTGTAGAAAAGACAAATTTAATAAAGTAGATGATAGGAATATATATATATATATATATATATATATATAAAACAATAATATAGCATTTTAAAAATGAAAGCACTATCTTGTAACATTTAGAACTTTTTTATTTGTTTTATCACTTCAAGTTAATGTCAAAAACTTTTCAGTCCCACCTTGTACATATTCTGATAAATATTGCTCTTCTGAAAATTTTTGTGTGCAGGTGATCAGGTTATCCTGTACCTTGCATTTTAAAACAGTCCCAATGGAGATTGACTACAAAATATTTCCCTCCTCCCCAATTTATAGGCAGAAGCACACAAATGCATAATGGGATTTCTTCTTAAGCAATAAAATAGGCCAGTTTTTAGTTTTATTTGATTCAGTCTGGGTCTGTCTTGTCTTGAAGTCAGAATGTTATGTTTGTTTATCTGAATTTGATTTTGTGTGTCAACCCCAATTTTAAGTTAGTGAACTTTTTGCCATATTATGGTTGCTTTGCCTTATTACTATTAATTTGCTTTGCTTTTTTTTCTTTTCTTTTACTTGTTATTGTTTATTGCAAACTTTGTCAATTCTGTCTGTTGGACAGTTCTGTCATTTATATTTACATTTAACAATGGCCACTCACTTTACATTAAAATAGTTGTTGATTTTTGCACTTTATTTCAAGGAAAACATCACCACTCTTAAAATGCATAAGCTATATTTATACAGTACATATAGTTTCCTTCTACTTTTTTAAATCCTTGGTGCCTATATTAAGGATTAGTTCCTCTGTGGCAGACCCACCCGCCAAAAAAAAACTTGAATTCCAACACATATGCTTCTATGTTGCCCTCGTGCATAGTGTATCTGTTGGTTAATGTCAAAGTTTATGACAAACTGAAGCACTTATCCTCATTGCAATATTGCCCCATCAGCTCCTCAGTATCAGTAAACCTTTTGAGCCTATCATCAACAAGAAGGTTGTCAATTACCCCATACATTAACAATGTCCTGAGTGATAAACATTATAGATTTTGTTTTGATGTCTACTACTGATGTCTTAACAGTCATTTTGCATAAAATCACTGAAGGGCATGATAATAAATCCATCAAAAGAGCAATTGTCATATATATATATATATATATATATTGAATATTTTTGATGTAGCATAGAGGATTACTGCACAAACTTCCCAGTATTATTGGTAGAGTCTGCTCTATTATCAAATACTTCCTCTTGGGTAAGTTGATGAAGGTCATTTTGAATGGCTAATTCTTTGGCACCCATGAAATGAATGCAGGTGCCTCCCCAATGTTCTCTTCTTTGTCTTCCTCTTATTCTGCTATATATGTAGAGGAAAAAGTGTGCAGAAAGCAAAGAAAGAAATAATCTTCATGCACAGCTCTACAAACTTTTAATAAATTTTTATTATTGAGTATTTTTTTTGCTTTCAAGTTGAAAGAAATGAATTACTAATGTCTTTGCAAAACAAAGTCTCACAAAATATTTTATTTTTGTTCTTTACAACACACAATCAATTTCATTAGTATAATAGAAAAAAACAGAATGTATCTATATAAGGACAGTGTTATGTATTTATGGTTGTTTTCTGTATATCTGTAATGAGCTGCATGATCCCTGTGGCAGGCAAGGCTGTCAACAAATGGAAGCTGTGTTTTAACTATTACTGAATATTTTTGTGGCAAATATTTATAGGAAAACATAGGCTTGATGAAGCTAAAAATTAGATTTACTAAACTCAGAAGTTTATTGGTTAATAAATATTTTTCCCAATTTTTAAATATCTATTTTTAGGAGGGAAGATATTGTTTTCTGGAGCACTCTCTAAAATTTTGTAACACACAACAAACATGATTGCCTGAAATTTCAAAGCCTTTCAGTGTGTTTGAGTTGATGTTGCTGATTGGTTAACAAATGTGAATAGAAATTCACACTGGATCCTATCTTTTGCAGAAAAATGAGTCAATTACTGTGTGAGCCTAGAACTCAGGTTTTTAGTGATATTACTTAAGTCCATTGAATTTTTTCTACAATTTTTGACTGGGGCACCATATATATATTAACAATCTGTCAATTCTCACTCAGATCACTAGGAAATATATATGCAGAATATACAATGGTTTATGAGAGCACTACTGAAAATTTAGATGACCAGAATCTGGTAGTTGATATCTCCTGTGATCTTGCTTGCACAGCTCATTTCAGGAGGAACTGAATTGCAAAATCAAGCTAATAACATATCATCACTGTGCAGACTCTGAGATTTCTTCACTTGTAATGAATGGTTGTATTCTCAAAGAGGCTCCTTTGACTGACTATTGGGATGCAAGCACACACCAGACCTCAAGTGGAACTGGTATATATGATCCATCACTGAGGATGTTGGAAAAATGCTTGGCTCTCTGTACTGATCTCAGAATGTATCTGACTCTTCCTACCATGCTCTCTCTACAAGAGCCAGATCAGATCAAAAATGGAATAGATCTACCACATCTGTGCCAGAACTGCCTGTCCTCAATTTTCAGCCAGGTTTTAAATTGTTTGCATCACCTTGTGGATCATAAATTATTTATCTCCTTTCCCTACAGATGAAATGCTACTAGCCTCTTGCTACTCTACTACTATTTTCATAGTGGATGTTTGGATGAATTAAATTCCTTGATTGCACCAGTTCAGGCCTTCACAGTCAATATGTGCCATACTATGTATACTGAGTAGGCTTATCCTCATTCTATTCATATTTCATTGGTAATAAGTATGTTCCATTCAGCTTCTTCCCCCATAACTGTTGCAATGTGGAATGAACTCCCGAGAGGATGCTTCCCTCATCACAACAATTTTAACCTCTTACAGCCATATGACATTGAAACACTGGTTCTCATCAAATCATTGAAGTTAAGCAATGATGAGCTTGGTCTGTACCTAGATGGGTGACTGCTCAGGAATACCACCAGATGCTGTAGGCTTGGATGTCTGTGTGGTGTAATGGATAACAGTTTGGAATGAGAAATTGGAGAGTCGAGTTCAAATGAAAGTCAGACTTGTTATATTCAGTTATGTGCAAATACCTTTGGGAATGATATTCTTACAATCCAAAAATAAATTTTGGTTATAAGTAACCTTAAAAAGGTTAATAAGCCATAAAAAAACAACCAATCAATTAAGTGTTAGCTATTAGCTATCCTACATATCTTCATAATATACAACTCTTGTTCTCTTTATACATTCTTATAACATCCCTATTCAGTAACCTACCTTGAGAGGCACTTTGCTCTTGATAAATAATATCAGCAGATTTTAGTCACAGTTTAAAATAATGCCTTAGAATTGTCAGAACTTCAAAACTTTTATCTGTCATTTTAGCATCTCAAATAAAAGTTACAGCTAAATGCCATTGAAGATATATAATATTAATAACAGTGGAAACATAGTCTTTAGATGCATACATGAAATAAGCTTTGGAGTAAAGGTTTGTAAAAAATGAAAATACTTTTGATACAGGCTAATATATAATAATAATAATGTTGTGGGGGTCATAGTCTTTAGATGTGCACATGAAATAAGCTTTGGAGTAACAGCCTGTAAAAATGAAAAAACTTTTGATACACACCAGTATTGGGTAGAAGTGGATAGTAGAGGGTATGGCAGCCTTGAGCATCTATATCAGGAGGGCATCCAGTCAAAGAGTGAAATAAAAATTAAGTAATATTGGAATAAAATGCTTATTTCATGTTTCATCTGTTTTCACATATTTGAAATATCTTTCTTTCTCACATTTCTTAGTACAAATCCCTATAGGCCCTCCCGTCTTGACTCTTAGGGGCATATAATCAAGGAGCTGGCCCTAGGCATCACTAAACCACCAATACACACACATTATTGAAGCTTCAATACATGCAACATATTTGTACTTATTAATTTATTGACAGATAACAAATATTTTTATGCACAAATTGTATGAAACAAAAGATACTTAGAATGATTCCTGAATCAGTAAATTTATAAGAAGTTTGAGGAAATTGTTCTATAAAAAAATGGATTTTGGATTCATTCATTTTCTGTCTGTGTTTCTGAATTATCTTTTTCTTTCTTTTTGTTCTTCCTTATTCTTTTGTTCACTCTTTTTCTTAAATCTTTTCATCTTTTGTTTTGTTTTCCTTTTATACAGATTTCTTTACAAGGGGTAAAATGAGCAATAGTGATGCAATTTCTAAGTTCTGCAGCCTAGAAATGATTCCAGTCAGTCTTTTTATATTCTCTTCAGGATGAAACCAACTGTCACTCCAGACATTTCTTGCATCTTGTTTACAATGTTACCAGAGAAAATGCAACACATAACAAGCCTTAGACCATCTGAAATGATTCCAATCAAAGGAATATAAGTGAATTGGGCCATTAATGCAGTACATTTCTATATACTTATTTGTTTTTTTAATTTTCTGATCAAATCAATAGGCTATGAATACATCAGAATTTTGTTAGGAACAGGAGGTACCATAGTTGTTATATAAAAATATCTATCTAAATCTCTCTCTCTCTCTATATATATATATATGTGTGTGTGTGTGTGCTGATATTGTAATAGTGGCTCAGAATGGGAAATCAGATAGTAAAGTGCAAATTCAAGTTGAGTTTTGTTGTATCCTTAAAAGAGGTTACAAACAGACAAAGGTGGTACTCGAGTGAAAGGAACAGCAACATGTGTGTCGATGAAAGAAAAAGAGGTTTATTGTAAAAGAGAATACACTACTGAAAGACAGGGAATTGGTTAGTAGGCGAGTAATCCCCAAAGCAAGTCACCAGGTATATCATATGCACATTTTATATATCTACTGATATAGTCAGTCCACAATTGGTGATAATGAGAGTGGGACATTCCATTACAACAGGTTTGTTACATTCACCCTTCAGAAAGGTATGAATCCATCTTTTCTCCCTCCAGCTAGGTGTTCACTAGTAGGATAGACTGGGCTCTTTAGCCTTGATTGACAACCAGTCTAAGAGAACAACAACTTTGAATTCAGAACCTGAGAAAATCTGTTTGGGGATCTCATGGTACACTATGTGCACCAGTTCTCTGTATTTGATTCTGGAAAATATTGATGGTTCTGCACAAACCTTCACCATTATATTCAAATTATATATGCAGATAGTCTGACTGTTCAGTTCAAGGAGTTGAATTGTTGGTCCCTTATATGTTGAAGATGACAGAAGAGTCCATCAGATGCACAGGAATATTAGTTTTAATGTTTTAATCACATTTAAGAAAAGAGAATTAAAGATGTTATAGGGGTTACCAATTTTGTCTTTTGTCAAAGTCAAACAAGTGTGGAACTATCTGTGTTGTATAGTTACAAGTAATAGAAAATGTGACAAATATGAATAGTGTGTAGGAATAGCAAAGAATGGTCTTCAAAAATTTAGCACAGTATTAAAGAAGCAAAAGGAGTGCTGGATGGCTATTAAATGTCTATTTTCCAAGATAGCAGAGAATGCTGGACAACTTCCCCACAGATGAAGAAATGACTAGAAGTTATGGAGATGTGATTTTGTTGAGAATACTGTAGAGTTTGTAGGAAACAATGAAGATATAAATAGAATAGAAAGTATAAAAGAAATTACTACTAACAATGTGAAAGAGATAAATGTTTTGGACACGTAATAAGGAAAGAATACTTTGAGAATTTAACAATTAATCAATCCTAACTAGACATCTTGACTTCAGTCGTTTTCCTACTGTCTTTTCTACAAATATTTTCATGTCAACTGCTTTGACAAAGTTTTTCCTTTGTGCCCCGACTACATGAATTTAAGCGGGCTACTAGCTTAGCAACTAGGTCACACTGTTTTACTGCTGAAATAGCTAAATGCAACTGCCATTTCTACTCCAACAGTTTCTTTTCTTACACTTCCCACCTGCGGAACTCCAGTTTTTTTGCTTCCCCATGACTACAATCTTCAAAAATTTAAATGCAATGTCATTCACAAGAAAGTGTAATGTTAGGAAGAGACTGCTATTCTACAATGTTCGTTACCTACTTTTAAGAGCTGATGTTAAAGTGAACCAAGCTTCTGCAAGGAAAAGATAAGATGGGTTCAAGTCTCATGAGGAACTTATCCTTGGTTATTTTAGATTCATGCTATAGATTTATTAAACTGTTTGCAACTAAGTAAATCCCAAACCTTACCCACTTCATCTCTGCCTTTACCTAAGTCAGTTGGCATGACAAAAAAGAAGCTTGATGGAAGTTTGGCTATATCATTATAAGTTATCTAATGAGCAGAGTTGCCTTTTTATGCATCTATTCATTTTATTTTCTTATGAAAAAAAAAGACTTGATCAAGAAATTTTGTAAATAAACTTCTTGGATGGTAACAAATAAGCATTTGAAGCAGCAAAACCTGGAAAATTTTGTATTTTGCTAACATCCATAGGCAAGTTGGTTCAGTCTCATTTTAGAAAAAATTTTCTTACTAGAATTTATGTTGTACATTTATAAATCTATTATTTGTTTGTACATTGAATGTTGCTGCCATATCTGGTCTGATACTTCTGCTATGTATCTACAGTTTCTTGACAAAATCTGTTGTTACCTAGGAAGAATTACTGAATGAGGAATAACCAAATTGGAGGTAGGAAATGAAATGGTAATCTTTATAACATCAACAAAATACAATACTCACCAGTGGCATGAAGTAGGTAAACCACTGCTAGTGGTGGACTACTTAGACAGCAGATATCTTCACTGACTTATAACAAACACACACACATACACAATCCCTATTAAGAAAATGTTAATGAATTTAAGGGAAGCACAATTCTCTACATTTTCTTTCATGTCTGAAAACAAAGCATAATTAATAGAACTACTCTAATATTGCTTAGTTTAAAATTCTATGAGACTTTTCGAACTTTTTCAGTGAACATACAACTCCATATGTGGTACCATAAATAAAATTGTTGGAAATCTCAAGTTAAATACAGCAGTTTTGTTCTGTTTTTAAATGAATCCTAAGCTCTATATAAGGAAGCTCAAAAGTTGAACTATTATTGAATAATTGAGAAAATTTCATTTTTATTTAATAAATTAATGTTTTGGTATATGACAATATATTATTTATAAGATTTATTGGGCTAATTATAGATTATGATATTATGCAAGTGCCACCCTCCCATTTGTTGCTTTGCAAATATACACTTTTTACCTATAGAAGTGGGACTTTTGGATCACCTTCTATATATGATCATCATTTAACAAGAATCCCATTTGTGAACTGACTATATCAGTAGCTATGTATAGTGAGCACAGGATAAACCTGGGGGTTTGCTTTGGGAATTACTAGCCTGCCACCCGATTCCCTGTCTTTCAGTAGTGTATTCTCTTTTACAATAAACCTGTCTTCTTGCATTTACATGTGTGTTGCTGTTCCTTCATTCGAGCACTACCTTTGTCTGTTTGTAACCTCTTTAAGGATACAGCACTGGTGATGCTGGATTCAATTCAAACACACAGCAAGAAAGACCCCAAAACACTGTCTGTAAAACATACAAAAAGGACATTTTGATTGGAGCTGAGAGACTTCATGATAAATCATAAAACCAACTTGGAGTAATTTTGCCTTAATCCATCAGAACAAGAATATCTCTTTTTTCAAAAACACAGGCAATGGTTAATGACCAAGATTTTGTCTGAGTTATTCTTGATTGCTGCTAATGACCAGAAGGATAATCTTGAAATAATCATGGTCTAATAGTGGCAAATACATCTGAGTAAAGTTGATGTAAAAAGCAGTTATACTGATGTTCTAAAAGTGAATGGAAAGCAGTATATAAACATAAAATTAGGTGGTGTTATGGAAATGTTCAAACCTATATCAATTCTGCTTTCACATTAGGTGATCCAGGCAAGATGGCATGAAATATTGGAGTTTGAACAGAGCACAACTTTGGATGCCAG